TATATATACACACACATTTTTAAACAAATTGCAGAAAGATAAAATAACCATAATAAAATCACACCACAGAAACATGTGCAGGCAGTCATATTGTCCAAATAAACACAAATAAAAGTAGACATCACGTGACCGTATCAAATTGTTCTAGTTATTCAGTGTGGCATTAGAATCAGCTGTGAAAGACATAACGATCCCATATACAGTTTATTGTCGAATCTACAGAGGTAATTAATCTGCTACACAAGCTGTTCTTTTGGCAGGGTGAGTCAAACATTAATTTTTTTGCTGCATTGGTAACAGGGTTAGAGCTTTGTTTAACTTTTTGTAACCATAAATTATTGCATGGAGTGATGTATGGCTACCCGAAGAATTTCTCCTACTTTCCCATGTGTAATTACAGGCACTGCAACAAGGTACAAGGTTTGAAAGAACCCCCTTCTTTCAAACATTGTACCTTGTTGCAGTGCCTGTAATCACACTCGGGAAAGTAGGAGAAATTCTTTGGGTGGCCATAAATTACTCCATGAAAATGATGGACAAGGAGATGTGTACTCATCCTTCAACATCTTGCTCCAGCACTGAGATCTATCACAATACTCATCTGACAGTTAAAGCAGACTGGGGCTGGGTTCCGCTTGCAAGGGGATTTTGTAACAAGTTCACCAAACTTTATATGTAAAAAGTAGCATCTCCAAGAACATTTTTTTTTATTCTCAGAATGTACCCACTTTATTGCTGCATTCGTTAATGCTTGAATTTGAACTTGTACTAGATCATTATGAAGCTGTGTCTTGCAGACTGGTGTACTGTATTATGCTGTTATGACTGAAACTGCAGAAACTCAGGAACTAGAAAAATGTTGATCATTGTTATATTCTACGTGTAATATAGCTAAATTTACCAATGCAATAAACTTTTTGTATGTTTCATGATGAGTGAAATCTATTCATTCTGTTGTATCACTTTAATGTTATTAGTTTTGGGGCTTTTCCTACTTTTCAGTCCAGTAAGCAAGTCTATCTATCATCTGATCTATTCCTGCCCACAGAACTACAAAGTTATATGACGTAAGAAACAGAGTTCTCTCCCTCTCTTCTGCATCAAGGCATGATTGAATCTGATTGGTGGGCATGAGAAACTTCTTGGTACTAACTTTTTTTTATACTGTATATACTTCCTGTATGGGGAAGCCTCATTAAGCCTGCATAGTTCTAAGTGCACGATAGTATCACCAGATTACCGAAAAAAACTCTTTGTTTACCTACTGGGTACTCTTTGTGTATATCGCTTTTTTTATTTTTCAGTTTTGAGAAGAATGTAACTGAGTTTTAATATTTTAATATTAAATATAGTATACTATACTGTATATACTAACTATAATTTAATAACTATATTTAATATATTTTTAGTATTTCATCTTACTGAAATTCTGATATTATGTTATAATAAATACCGGTGACAATAGTGAGGTCTCCAAACTGTATGAAGAGAATGGGGTAGTAATAATGTTGGTAAAAGTGCAGCACTATCTAATCAATAAACTTTAATATAACAAATAAACCGAAAATAGATATACATCACTACTATACTTTCCTTATAACGTGTGCCAAACAAATACACTCCACTGAAAAAAACAAATAAGTGAACAAATGTGACCCAATAAGGTGTCCAATATATAGTGGATATATATATATCCACTATAATGTGTGCATATACCACAGAACATTTCTTTTTTTTTTTAAATTCCTTCTATCTCTCGGTTACCAAGGGGACCATGGCAACCACCAAAACACATTTTACATTAATTGGTCTCTAGTACTGTTTTTTAAATCACTTGGGCTACAGCCAAAAATCAATCTTCTTTACCCTCATACTCTGTTTAAAACAACAGTTTGTGTGTATGTATGTATGTATATATATATATATATATATGCAAAACGAGAAAGCTCCCCAATACAGCAATTTTTTATATGGTATAATCAAAAAAGTAAATGAAAATAACACAAAAACAATTAATAAAACCTGGGATCCTCCAAATGTTCTTGCATACTTCACCTATTTCACCTACACTTATTAGAAATAAAGGAGGGATATATCATATTAATAGTTTACAAATGAAACAGATAAGGTCAAATTCTATATTTAACCCATCTGGAGCCATGGTTTTAGCTTTATATATCCAATGATTTTCCTGTTTTGGAGATCTACTCAAGTTTGTTCTCCTTCAATGTCTCCACACGTT